CTAATTTTTAATGTAATATAATAAATTTTTAGGGTAAAGTATAGTAATGGTCATTGAATTTTTCTAAAGCTTTCATTTAGGTCCTCCAACTTTTAAAACTTGCAATAGAGTCCTCCAACTTTAGTCCCGTTGCAATATGGTCCACGACATAACCAGCGTTTGACGCCGTTACACTGCCGTTAGTACGTTTGCAATATAGTCACTAAACTTTTCAGGTGTTTGCATTTAGGTCCCCCAACTTTTAAAACTTGCAACACATTCCTCAATTTTATTCTAAACCCCATTGTAATATAATAAATTTTAGGGTAAAGTATAGTAATGGTCATTGAATTTTTCTAAAGCTTTCATTTAGGTCCTCCAACTTTTAAAACTTGCAATAGAGTCCTCCAACATTTAGTCCGTTTGCAATATGGTCCACGACATAACCAGCCGTTTGACGCCGTTACACTGCCGTTAGTACGTTTGCAATATAGTCACTAAACTTTTCAGGTGTTTGCATTTAGGTCCCCCAACTTTTAAAACTTGCAACACATTCCTCAATTTTATTCTAAACCCCAAATTCCTTTTCGATCTCGAATTCCCCTTTTCGCTTATCTCTTCTCATTTCCAGCGCAATTTTTCAGTCGGAGATGCATGGAAAATTCTAATCTAACTCTGAATTATGTGGAGGCGTTGACTTGAATAAGGGTCCATTGAGAGAAAGCCCGACCAATGGACTATCAGGACCATCAACGATTCAAGGTGTAATGTTAGATACATGTCATCTCAAGTGAAGCATAGATGTTTGATGAAATTCTTGTGAGAAAAAAATAGGGTTAGAAATGCAGAGTTGACAAATACTACTAAGATGAACTAAGTATCATTGTTGAAAGTCACCAACAAAGCTGTAATTATTTTGTATAAATGACATAGAATAATTTCTTCGTTTAATCCTTGCGGTTAAAGATTTTCCAACAGATGATCAAGTATAATGAAATCCCAAACAACACATTCACCTCTCAGTCTCTTTCGCTCACATGCACTCTCGTTCACATGCACTCTCGGTTGGTTTCCCAAACAGTGTTATCTCTTTCAAATTTTTATTTACAAAGAAAAAATGGAGGAAGAATAACGGGAAATTGAAGAACAAAAACCAAACGAGAGTGCATGTGAGCGAAAGAGACTGAGTGGTGAATGCGCTATTTGGGATTTCATTATATTTGATCATCTGTTGGAAAATCTTTAACCGCAAGGATTCAACGAATAAATTATTATATGCCATTTATACAAAATAATTCTAACTTTGTTGGTGACTTTCAACAATGATACTTAATTCATTCTAGTAGTATTTGTCAACTCGATATTTCTAACCTTTTTCTAACCTTTTTTTTAAGAAAAGACAATTTAATTTAAATCTAAAAATGTTATTCTTAAATGTAATTAAAAATGTGATAAAAATTATAATATTTTAAGTTAGACATAACTTAAAATATTATCTTCTTCTAACACTTTCAATTCTACCGAAAATGTTATATTTTTTATAACATTTTTAGTTACTGCACGACCTAAAATATTATAATTTTTTTATCACATTTTAAGTTGTACTCTAAAATCGTCATTTTTAACCTTATATTAAATTACCACATAATGGAATCACCGACGAAAAGGAAGCAGTTAGGGAAGTTCTACTGTGTGGCACCCTTAATATAAAGTTAAGGAAAGACGCTGTCGGTTTTGTTATTATTTTTTTAACAAAACCGGTAAAAAATTACCTAAAACATTATTATTTCTAACTAAAACATTAGTATTTTTTAATAATTTCGGTAAAATGTCCAATAATAACAAAATCGGTAGAAAAATAACAAAATCGATAGCGCTTTAACGGATTTATTAATAAAACTGGTAAAACGCCCAATAATAACGAAACCGATAGAAATAATAATGTTTCTGATAATTTTTTGCCGATTTTATTAAAAAATAATAACAAAACCAATAACATCTTTTTTTTAACCGTATATTAAAACTGTCGCACTCGTCATTTCCCAAGCAGCTGCCGTGGAGCAAATATGATACATTTGGAAGCAATACATGAAATGACCTATTTGTCTGTCTTATTGTTCTTGCACCAATATCCCATAATGATATTTTTTACGAACCAAATATAATAATACAAATTTAGAAAAAAAAATTATTAATAATAATTTTTTTCGTGAACCAAGTGCCTTTTAATATATATCTCATGTTCTGATCAGTATCATTGTAGTTGTCATTATTTTTATTAGTTTTTTTTTCTGTTTCAATTTTCGTTTCTCTTTTGATCACTTACCTCCACAACAACGGCTGTAGTATGTGTCTCCATATTTGTATTAGCTGAGCATGATCAGATATTTCTTTTCAATAAGTAACCGATTGTCATAAATCATAATGTTAGTGAGTTTTACCACATAAATATGAAAAAGAGAGAACTAATCGTACATTAATATTTATTTATATAATTTATCTAATATTTAATTAAGAAATTATTTTTATTTAGTTAAAATAAATATATAATCTTAAAGAATGAAGAGGTAAGTTGGGTAAGTAATTTTTGAACACTTTCAAGACGGCGACCGACCCATAAAGGCGGAGCCTCAGAAAATCCAAGTTGGAAGGAGAACTTTTCGAATGAAATTTCTTGAAGGAAGTTCGTCTTGTTTATTCCAATTGTCAACTCAACTCCAGTTTAGAGTTAATTCGTCATGCAGTTTAAGGACCAATCAGAGCCCTGAGCTCCCTCTCCTCTCTGTTCGCCAAAGACCCTCTTCAGAACTCTTCACCAATACCCAACAACCCCAGGTTTCAAAACTCACGAAACCCTTACCTTTCGGTTCCCAAAGATTTCGAGTACTTCGTCAGGCATCAATGTAAATCAGGTAAACTCACCCTCAACGATGCACTCACTTATTTTGACAAGCTAATAGCGATCCAACCTTCCCCTTTGATTCAAACGTTTAATATCGTATTGGGTTTTGTCTCAAAGCTTAAATGCAATCCGGATGTGTTTTCGATGTATAGGAAGTTGAATGTTGAAGGGATTAAGCCGAATTTATATACTTTAAGCATTTTGTGAATTGTTGCTGTCAGTTAAAGCAGATGAGTTCTGGGTTTTGTGTTTTTGGTCATGTTATAAAGAGGGGGTTCGAGCCTGATTTGGTTACCGTTAGTATTTGTTGAAGGTATGTGTGGGGATGGTAAGGTTTTGGATGCAGTTAAGGTTTTTGATAAAATGTCTGAAAGAGGGTTTCAAGGGGACGGTGTTATATATGGGATTCTGATTAATGGGCTTTGTTCCATTGGCCATCCGGCTATGGCTCTTGAATTGCATAGGAAGATGGAAAAGAGTAGTTTTCGAGGGACTCTGATGACATTTAGTCTGGTTATTGATGCTTTTTGTAAAGATGGGATGGTCGATGAGGCATCGAGTTTGTTTTCGGAAATGGTTTCGAAAGGAATTATTCCGGATACTGTTGTTTATGGTTCTTTGATCAATGGATTTTGTCGTTTTAGTAGGTTGAAAGAAGCTGTTAATGTTTTCGACGAAATGGTTAGTCAAGGATTGACTCCGGATTTGGTCATATACAACACTTTGATTCATGGTTTCTGCCAAGTAGGGATGTGGGAAGAAGCTATGAAGATTTTCAATCTGATGGTTGGAAAGGGGATTTCTCCTGATGTAGTAACCTTCACAATTTTGATAGATTCTCTATGCAAAGAGGGAAAGACCAGAGAAGCGCAAAGAATATTCGATCTGATGATTCGAAAGGGGGCAAAGGCAGAGATACGAACTTATAATTCACTCTTGAATGGATTGTGTTTAAATGGTCAGTTAGACGAGGCAGCCAAACTCTTTGGTTCGATAGTCGATCAAGGTCTTGAGCTTGATGATTTTAGCTACAATATAATGATCAGTGGCTATTGCAAGAGTTGGAAGATTGATGAAGCTTTTCAACTGTTTCAGAAAATGCATGACGACAGAATTAAGCCTACTGCGGCTACTTACAACACACTCATAGGAATGCTTTTTCAAGCAGGGCAAGTGAGCACTGCACAAAAGATGTTCGACGAGATGCGTGTTTACGGTAAATCTCCATTATTTTCTACATATAATGTCATGTTGGATGGGCTATGCAAGCATGGCCATATCGACGAGGCTCTTAATCTTTTCCGTTCCCTTGAAAGTACCAATCACAAACCCAGTATTGAGCCTTTTTGCATACTTATTGACGGAATGTGGAAAGCTGGAAGATCGGAAGAAGCTTGGATAATGTTTGATCAAATCTCCGAGAAAGGGTTGTCTCCTGATGTTGTAACATAAACATGATGCTCAGTGGCCTGTGCAAGAACCGTATGCCATGCTGGCTGATAAATTGCTCATGGAAGTGGAAGAAAAGGACTGCTTACCCGATTCCATCTCATATATGTCGTTATCAATGGACTTTTACGTGGAAAGGAGGTTGAAAGAGCTATGAATCTTCGAAGCAAATGCGCAAAAGGAACTTCTCGGCAGATGACGGAGTCACTTCAATGCTGCTACGCCTTGCCATCAAGGATGAGCAATGTCGTGCAGCTCTCAAGTCCCTGTCATATGAAAAAAAGCTGTTTCTTTTCCCGCCCTAGTTGATTATATTACAGTCTTTTATCAATTTCCTGCTTCTGTATGAATTTGGCTCAATGATATTCACAAATACAATTATTTTTTCAATGATAAAAGGAAAAATACAGACAGAAAGGAAATACATGGAAATATCATCCATAATGCTATATACAAGTGAATTTCCAATGCTATTGGTTAATTTCTTGTGCTTTGATCATCAGCTTTCATTTGGGGTTACAATTCCATTGATGGCCTCAATTTCTCAGCTTTTTCCAGCACTATCTCAATCTTCATATTAACAGATGCAGAGAGTTAGGCATACATGTCATTCACAAGAAAGACATGCTAACTATGATGCTAAATGATGCAGAATCAGTCAGTAATGAACCTTAGCTTTCTCGATCTGACAACCCTTTCAATCCTCATGTGTGCCGAGCACAGTCGATGTTGCTAATCCTGTTGCATTTCGAAACAACCGGAATCAGGGACTGGTACAGAGCAAGGTATTTTAAACCACCAACGTTCTCTTTACCTTTCTGGATTGCGGATCCATTTCGCTTCAGAATCTCAGCTATGGTGACAACAGTAGGAATAGCTGGGTACAATAACAATAGGGATCAGCAAAGATTCCAATGACATACATACATACATAACAAGATTGATGATAGATTGAAGTAAAGAATCAAAGAAAATGTACCCATTCCCAAGCCGCAAAGTTCAACCTCGTTGAACTCATGGATGTATGTCTGCAACAAAGCAAACATGGGATCAGATCGGATCAAACCCCACAAAGAAGGAAGATTTTTTTTCTATTATTACCTTGGCGCGATTCAGATAGAAGACGAAGGGCTTCTTGGTGTCGGAGACTTGCACCTCATTCTTCTGTTTATTCTTCTTAACGTTCTTCATTTTCTTGGTCTCTAGGGCTGATTCGACAGTTTCCACCGGAGAAATGATGGAAGCAATCTCAGCATGGCGGTCGGCGGCGGATGCAACTACTGGGTTCATGCCGTTCTCGAAGTTGAAGCCTTGGCCGGCGGTGATGGTCTCCTCGGTCTTGGCTTCTTCTTTGGCCTTGGGGCTCTCTGATTCAACTCGTTCAGCTGCAATGTTCGACACCATTGACTCAACTCGATTCGCTCTTCGGTTGAATATGGCGGGGAAAGAGACGGTTGTTCAGTTATGGAGAGAAAGTTGTTGCTTTGTGAACTGTTATTTGGCAAATGGGAGTCTATTTTATAAGGGATTACAAGGTAATTTCCAATAACATCTGCCACGTGTTCATTTTGCAATTCAGTTGGATTTTATAAGGTGATATTATAGGATCTAGGGTCTCTTTGTTTGGGGGAAAACTAATTACGGAATTGATTTTTTCTGAAATCTCGTATTTTATTTCATGTAATTCGTTTTTTGAAAAATATTTTTTCGTATTTGTTTTATGTAATTCGTTTTCCGGAAAATATTTTCCGTGTTTGTTTAATCGTATACGTGAAGTAATATAAGAATTTAATTAATCGAAGAGCTTAACAAATTTGTGTGTACAGATTGTAATACCTTAAAATTTCGATGTTGGATTCTGATATGTATAGATATTTGATGAAATATTAGAACAAAGGAATAGAAACTTGAGGAATGAAGAACTATTTTATTCAACAAAGAACTATTTTTCTCAATCATGTATACAGAGATTTATATACAGAAATCACATTAAGACAAAGGCTATTAACTGCCCAACAACGAGATAACCGCTTTAGCTAATTAATTTTTAACAATCTAACAACTATTTGTTTCATCTAACATTCACCCAACTCCTTCGACCTTCTTGATGTAAAGATGAACGTTTGAATCAAAAGTGCGATGTTTACTTTCGTTCGACTTGAATCGAAAGTACGATGTTTCATTCCGTTCGACTTGAATCGAAAGTGTGATGATTCATTCTGTTCTACTTGAATCGAAAGAAATTCTAAAAAACAATCTATCCCATAACAACAATGTAAAACAAACCAGACACCAGCAACATCATTGAAACATTTGATCGAACAGATTGGAAGCATGCACATACGAACCGTGGTTGGGATCAACCGCTTTTCCTTGAGCCCGCTTCTGATAGTAATGGTATCAGTCTTAGTTTAATCATACGTGCTCGATCGCATTGCTACTTCGTTCTACGTCGCCTTTCTTAACTTCCTCCCGTGACATTTTCTAGTTACTGTTCCACCTGAGAAATGTGAAGAAGAGAAGAATTCAGTCGAGCGTTCCGGCATTGTATTGTTAACTTCCCGTTGATATGCATGCAACATCATTCTGAACATGATATTGTAGTACTTGTAGTTGATGCATGTTAAGCACATATACCAGTTGATATGCATGCACAATCGTTTGAAACATAATATTTTCATACTTACTGCCGATGCTCGTTAAGTACGTGCACTCAAACGAGTGTCCGTTAATCGTGTCGGCAGACAGCGCGAAAGGATCGGACCTTGTGTTGGAAGTAGTGGTGGAGGCCGAGGTGGCGCGGAATGCATAGAGCTCTTTTCTCTGCCTCAAAATCAAATACAGTAATAGAAGGTATCGCTATTCGGTCTTGGCTTTCATCTCAGCAGTATGGTCATCTATGCTGATTTGGGGGCCATTTAGGAATTACAAATTAATTTAACTTCTCCTTGGCTGAATTTACGAGATAATGTTATGAGAAAAAACAATTCACGAGATAACGCATTCCAATAATTAATTGTTGAGATAGGATGTTTGCTACAGTTCGAATGAAGGTCGCCGGGTGTTCTGGGCGACCAATGAAGGTCGCCAGGTGATCCATGGGAGAAACAATCAAACAATAATTGTTTGGGTTAAATGCAAATTTGGTCCTCACAACTTTACACTCTCATACGTGTGTTTTAATATTTAGGGGATAATAGCATTTTCGGTCCCCTATGCTTTGTAATCTATTTGTTTAATCATTTAGTGACATTTTTAATGTTTTGTTTCAGGCATGTATATTTTAATAATTATATTTTAGTCACTAGTTGTTTATTCTGTCAAGTTTGTGTATGCTTCATTTTGATCATAATATTTTTAGTTATTTCATTTTAATCACTGATTTCATGTGTTTTATATATTTTCCTTAATTTTCGAAATTGGCCATGAAATTTGTAAACATGTTATTTTAGCCACTGTTTAGTATTTATGTTTAATTATAATTTAGTCATACATGTTTCTTGTTTATCCGACCGAGGCCATCCGAAAGCATCCGAGAGCATCCGAGGCCATCCGACCGAGGCCATCCGAACGAGCTATGCGAGGGCATCCGAGGGCAACCGAGCGAGCTATGCGAGGGAATCCGAGGGCAACCGAGCGAGGGTAGGTCGCCCGGATTGCATGGCGACCTACAAGGTCGCCCAGAGTGCATGGCGACCTTGTGCCCTCAGATGCCCTCGCATAGCTCGTTCGAATGGCCTCAGTCGGATGGCCTCGGATGCTCTCAGATGGCCTCGGATGCTTTCGGATAGCCTCGGATGCTTTCGGATGGCCTCAGATGCCCAGCGTGTTGGGACGTGCATGGAACATGCAATCTCTTGTAGGTCGCCGGGAAGACATGGCGACCTAGTAGGTCGCCCGGAAGGTATGGCGACCTACGGCCAACACTGTGGATTTAACCCTATTTGAGTAAATAAAAAATTCGAGAACATTATCTCGAAAGTTTTGCCCTTCTCCTTTGCTCTAATACTATATATAATAATATTCTATTTGCAGTTCATAATATGAACCGAGGGGTGCTGCTGTATAATATTCTCATATAATTTAGATGTTTTTTATTTTTTTTATATAATCTAATTTCGCACTCTCTGTAATTTTATAATTTCGTTATTCCTACCTTTCTAATGTACTTTTCAAAAGTTTATATCTATGATATATCCGTCCGAAATAATAATGACCCTTTACTGCTAGAAATCCACTAGTTTTATTAAAATAGAAAATATCTAAAATTACAACGATTTTACAAGCATAATCATAAACTAAAATATATTAAGATATTTTCAATAACTATTGGTACAAACCACCTAAATTACACACTGACCAAAGAAAAAAATATTAAAACATCTAACAAAAAATTGAACAAAATAAAGATATGAACAAATCTGACTGCATCGACAAACGATCTACAAAGGGGATGAAGCTACGAAAGACTACCGATAAATCGCAAATCAGAAGTCGAGTGACGTGAGAAAACTATATACGAACGCAAAATGCGTATCCAAATCAATCTGATGGTCCAAAAGTAGAGAAGATTAGCATGATAACAAATAAGTGTCATATTGATCAGTCGTGGTGATGTCAAATCCAACTTTGAGATAACGAAACAACGATCAAACAACCGAAAACTACTAAAATATAGAGAAAAACGAGCCAAAAAGGTAGAGATAAATGTGTCATAAAGACATAGAAAAACGTATGACAAAGATAATTATTTATTAAAAAAACTAGAGCAAAAATAAAGAGAAAAATAATCGGTGATCGACAATCAATATTAAAATCGATGTCGGATTTGATTTATAAAAAATAACAAAATGTAAAGAAAAAAAATAAAGACCCTTTACTTAAAAATGATAAAAGAATAATTAATAATGAGAACTATATTAAAGATTTTGGGTGCCTCCCACAATGATTTGGTTGTACGTATAACGTGATATTTTTTTAGAATCGTTTTTATTCATTAACAACGTGCATACACTCTCGACTCCATACATACATTGTGGTTTGATAACTTGATATAATATACATGTAAAATCGAATATACTTGAGCATTTAGTACTCATCCATTTATAAGTAAAGAGAAATCTAGATAATATAAATATTCTATAAAATATTTTTTTTATTTTTTTTATCCCAAAATTTCTCATACTTAAAAAAGATGCATTAATGGCAATGAATGAAATGCCCCATCAGCATGCGCATGGCACTGTTCCCCAATCTCTCATGGGCTCCTAAATTTTTAATAAATTCCAACACATATATATGTAGAAAATTTCTGTACAATAATCTAAAAATTATACATTTCAACGTGTTTAATATTTCTAAAGTATGTTTTTTTTCGAAACAAATTTTTATAGTATTTTGAAAAAAATTATAAATAATTTAGACAAATATGCAAAAAATTAAAACTAAGGGGGGAGAATAAAACACATAGACAACAAACTATGACAATGACCATGTAAATTATTAGACAAATTCTCCCCCATTAGCAGTAAACAAAAGTCAGACAAGTTCATTGCTTCTTGTTCGTTACACAAATGTCCCAAATCTATTGCATATCTATACATTGCCCAAACATATATGGAAAAACATCACATAAAATACACAGACACCATCCAGACAAGTTGCCCTAATTCCATGAGCTTTAGTGCTTTAGGCTCTGCTCTTGCATTTCTCCATTGATCTAATCCTGAGCCCGACCGCTTCCGATCCTTTCATTATACGCAAACGCTTGCACAAATCGACAAACATCCTGCCAAAAATTAGAGTTTAAACCTTAATCAACTTAACAGAGATACACATACATATAGGGCCCAAGTTGAGGTACACTGCTAGAAGATGTACATGTATGAACATGGATATATATATATATATATATATATATATAGTATATAGTATATGTATGAAAACATACCCATGGGACATCGCCCACGAGCATCCAGTCGCCATCCTTATCTTCATAGGTGGCACATAGTCAGAACTGTTGAGAAGATCCATCAACTTGCTCTCGTTCATAAAGTCTATCATTCTTGAGATCCATAATTCGTTCTAAAAAATTATTCGTCAGTGAATCAGATAATGACACAATTCGAAAAATACGATTATCGTCATCGAATATATGTAAAGTTTACCCATGGTGAAGGAAACTGAACATCTTGGCCAAGGCATCACATAAATTTTGGTAGTGTTGTACAGCTTCAGATCCACCTTACGCAAATAGGGTGCACCATCCATGCTGACCTTGACAAGGGCAGCAGCTTTCTCACTTTCCTCGCTGTTGTTCTTCTGGTTGGCCATTATGTTCTTCCGGTAAGACCCAAACTGGTGGCCAACCCAATACTTGTGCCCTAAAAAACCAACCATTATATACGTATAAACATGGAAAAACAACATATGATGATGTAAGAAAA